AAAGAGACATTGAGCTTTATTTCATCAGTTTATTTGGCATCATTATTTACAGAGTTACACTTCCAATTGCGAGGTTTTAATTATTATTTTAATAATTTTAATTTAATGGTGGGATGCTGGAAGGACAAACATAATCGTAAATATATGATGTGTGTTTGCATTTGAAAAAATATTCTTGAGTGAAACTTGTGGTAAGTGCATGGCCAGACATGACGCCTGCTCTGTGCCGTTCCTCAGCCCACATGCGTGTTTGGGCACATGCCTGTTTGTGCACATGCCTCAGTCACCATTAAAACACATCTGACACTGTAACACCAGCCGCCCCCCATATGTGCTTACTCCACGGGGTGTGGGGTGGCTAGCAATAAAAGCTGAGCCCCACGCATGCACCGCCAGCCCTAACCCTCTATCCTTGAGCGACCTCTCAGATCAAGTTGAGTTCCACGTTTAGAGTGGGAAAACTATGAGAATGTGTCGGCCTTGCTTATAATAGCCCCCCTAGTACTGGAAAAACAAGACGTGCGTTTCTTTTCCACCCTCTGCTCTTGTGCCTTCATCTCGCTAACCCTTTTCTCGCCATCAGGTCCCTTATTTCTGTCAGGCGCAATTTTCCTCAACATGTTCATCTCCACAGAGAAACACGTTTCACTGCGAAAGGGAGGATGGCATTGGCTACAAAGTGAAAAGGGGCAGATGATAAAATGTTTAATGCTCCTGTTGAGTCACTTTGGGATTCCTCTCCTGATATTTTTAATCATTTATGCTTACTGTCCAACTCTTTTCTATTTGACTCATTCTTTAATTTAGCTGCACATATATTCAATATTCTTATAGTGGGCAAATCTGATGGAATTTGGTCTGTTTATTATTATTTATTCCATGAGGCTTGCGGGAACTGTCACATACGGCCTATACGGAGACCCAGATATAAATATGGAAAATGTAGGTGTTCATTTTGTGTGTATCAAATGACAGATAGCATTTTACAAATATGACACTGCAGTTGCTGACGGGGCAGGCTGTATAACAGCACCCAGGACATTGCCACTGTAGCTTTTGTGTGATAGGTTAGAGGCCATGTGTGTTTCTGTGTGTTGTTGAGAAGAACCACAGCACCACCATAATGCCCACAGCTTGGGGTTCACCCTTGTCTGCGACGGGTGCTTTGATGCAGCCCGACAGCTCCTTGAGGCTTTGTGTTTGTGTGTGCGTGCGTGCATGCGAGTCAGAAGCAGGCCACCGTGCAACGTTAGTGGCTGACTTCCGAGGACAGGTGCCCCTACATCCTCTCAGTAGGCGCACACACTTTCACAAATAGTCCCTGCACCGGTTTCCTTGATTCGAGTTAACCAAACAGACAGTTGCCTTGTGAGAGAGACACGCACTGAATAAATCCTGCGTAGCTGCGTGCTAGGATCATCCACAGGGACACCAGCGTCTCTCCAGCCACAGGGAGTGTCTTTCCTGCCGGAGACGGGCTGCGATCGCAGGCAAGCCCAGAGGCAGGGACAAAGGGAATGGCAGCCTGGAGTTTTTAACTGTTTTCAACACAATCATTTCCTTAGTTTATGGAAAAATACACCAGCAACGCGTTCAATTTGTTATCCCTCGGTAATTAAACGTGACTTCTCTGACGGCCTTTTGGATTTTGTCGAGGCATTGATTCAGTGCGAACGCAGATGTGACTGCGTTTAAGAATTCAAAGCGGCGGTGTCACGGCTCAGTTAGCATTTGGGTATTTTCAGGTTTGGAGATTTTGTTTGAGTGAAAATACCCCATTATTAATAGTGGCAGAAATGTCTACCCATCATGCTCTCCACCAGTCGCTGTGCTAACTGTTTAGACGTTTAGACGGGGGGGGGGTTTGTTTACCTCTTTATGCATCACTTTGCTGCCCTTCTCCCCAGCTCTTCTCCTTTCCTTCTGTTTTTATTTTGGCTAAAAATTGTGTTGGATTATTTCAACACATTTTCCGTTTATCCCGTTGGAAGCCAGTTAGAAGTGGAGAGGATTACGTCGGTAAATACGTTTCCCTTTGGTACAAAGCTCCAAAGCCACTCACCAGTAAAAGAGGGCCTTGATAAGAAAATTGTGTCAAGCACACCATCTCACCTGAGAACTCGCCCCCCCCTCCCACCCCCATCACCCTTCCTTCTCCATTTCCTCTTGTTTTCTCCCAACCATTCCTTCCTACATTAATTCCCTGTAGTTCATTTTCTATTTTCTATTCGGAACTATTTTGTGTGGATGGTAAAGTCAGAGCAAGAAAACCCAAATGTCTGGCATGAAAAGGAAAATCTTATAATTAATCTGTGAAAAGGCCCATACAAGAATTGGACACTATTCTTCCTAGGTGATACTAAATGCACTTCTCCTCTCTTGTAGTGCCGTTAGGAGAAAAACAACCAATGTATCTAATTGAACAGTGTTGCAGGAGAAACCAAGGCTGACGGGGAAAGACAGAATGTGTGGTTGATGTGGTGTGTGTGTGTAGTTGTGGCAGCAGTGGCTCGGTATCCAGTAAAGCTGAAGTCATGCTAACTTAGAAGCTCAATAAAAGTGGAATCTTTGTCCATCTGTATGTTTGTTTTTGCATACACCAGCAATGACGAGATGAATTTGACCTTTTTCTATCCAGCCCTTGTTACTGAAATAATTGAATTGCCTATTAACTCTTTCTCCCTTTCTGCTCTGCTTTTATATGGTGTCAAGTAATCTCTCACTGTATATTCCCCCATAGACTAACTGGTTTCCTTTTGTATTTGCAGTATAACTTTGTGGGGAGAATCCTTGGCCCTCGTGGACTCACAGCCAAACAGTTGGAAGCAGAGACGGGATGCAAAATCATGGTGCGAGGCAAAAGCTCCATGAGAGACAAGAAGAAGGTAAGCTCATTTGCAAGTGTCTTAATAACAATGTTACTTTGTACATTATTATATTAAGTCCCAAGTGTTATCAAAGCATTTCACATATACACTCAGCATATTTATTTCTCCACAAGGATAAATCATATGTCTTGAGATACAATAATGTGAAACTCGCTGCGACTGCTGTCCACAAACACGTCTCACTAGCCCAGCAGAGACACAAACACACGCTCGGTTCATGCTCTTAGCTGCATTCTGACATCTGATAGGGCTGTTTGCTAAACGCTGCGCTGTGGAAAGGCAGACGGCGAATGCCAGGGGCCGCCTCTATTTCTGGAGCTACTGAGCTGAGGTTGGAGACTTAAAAGGTTAATGTTGTGTGAGACCCAAGGGGTGAACTTAAGCAAAACAAAATGGTAGCTTACTTTAAAGGACAAAACAGATTTTCCTTTAAATTATGCAAATGCATGAAAACAGCCACGTCATAGAATGAACTATGGTGCAAAGGTGATGAAAGCTTGTCAATATTGCCCTACTATCAGGTCAACCTGCTTTATTGTCTTTTCACGCCTACAATGTTGACTCGGTGCATAATTTGGCAGAGTATATATTGAATATTAATGCACCTTACCATACATGCTACAGTAACTTCAGTGTATTCAAAATAGTGTGTCAGATAAGATTCCTTGATGTACTATGACGACAAACAGTTTGGAACATTGTGGTTGAACAAGCATCCGTGCATGTATTGCTTTGTTATAACTTTTTAGGGCTTTTTTTCCTTTTGACTTTCTTCTTTGAGTGATACCTCTTTGGAGTCGCATCCTTATTTTTTATTCTCTTCCTTTTCTTTTTTTTCCTGTACCTCCCACTTGCTCTGATGTGCCAGGCGGCGGTTTTATAAAACAATGCATTTACATAAGTGTGTTTCACCCCTCTTGGTATGGGAATCACCTTCTCTCCACACACACACACACACACACACACACACACACACACACACACACACACACACACACACACACACACACACACACACACACACACACACACACACACACACACACACACACACACACACACACACAAACGTACCCAGATTTTCGGCCGAGTCATAATCTTGGAAGCCTCAGTTTGCTGCAGGGCCAACGCTTTCTTCGCTTTTTTTTGTAATGGCTCCTCAATTCATATTTTAATTTCTGTCTCTTCTCCTTATTTCCCTCGGGAGTGTTCATTATAACAGAACAAGATGAAGATATCTGCGTATGGTTTTTACTTTGGAATTCGATCCTGAAGTAGTTCAATGGGACTCAAACACACATCTTAAAAGCTAGTCTTAGCTCATTACATGAATATTATTATCCTAATAAGCTCTTACCATTATAAAAAGGATTGGCTCAGGCTAGTTTGTTTTAGTCTGGATATGTCTAAGGCCAAATTACTATGCTAACTAAATCCAGTTTTAAATGTATACTGGAAAACAGCGGAGCAGGATATTGTCTTTACTCGGTATGTTGATATGAGAGGAAGTGAGGAAATTAGCCAATATTAAATAGTTTTATAAATAATCCTGGCTGGTTTTTATAGAAATTAGGAAGAAAATCAGTTTTATTATTAGATGGGTTTTTAGCGCATCTAAAATAAAAATCATTGCATACATCTTTTTAACAAAAGCTTTATATCTTAAAGGACATTCTCATTCCCCTCTACTTTTCTGTCCCTTACCTTAGACTACTAAGGTATTTTCAGTAACATTGGGTTAAGCTGTGGGAAAATACAATGTAAAAAACACCCTGCCAGTTTTATATCCTCTGCTGTCTCCCATGGCAATAAATCACAAAAAGCTTTTGGACGGCCAGAGTGTCATAACGGAGGCTCGGGCCGAGACAAAGGCTCCGCCGCAGCATCCTCACCCTCAGTATCTCCTGCTTCATGCCCTGTGGCAGCAGAGGAAGCCGCGGGAGCAGCTTAGCCAGTGTGTTTATTCAGGATCCATTAGCGGCAGCGTTTTTATGCTCTCAATAATTCAGCTGGTTGCTCCCTCCTGGGCCGCACTGCCTGGCGGGGAATCGGCTCACTGGAGCTATGCAGTGGGAGAGAGTCGAGCAGACACTCATGAGGGGAAGGGAGGGAGGGAAGAGGAGTAAAACAAAAGAAAGAACAATGGCGAGAGAAGAAAAGCAGAGGTAGACGATGAGGAGGAAACTAAGCAGGTGATGAGAAAAATGTGGTAATTCACAAACATAATGCTTATAATAAGGGATGTCTTGATCAATTTCCTTTTTTAGATTATTTAAAAACTGAGAGTTGAATTTTTGTTATATTAAATTTGTGGATTTTCATTTATTGTTTCCCTAAAATACTGATTTTGATTGCTGTTACTGAACATCCCCCACAAATACTGTTGAGCCTGCTGTCACTTATCACCGTTCCCATCCTTTTAAAGCTAGCCTTTTGATTTGTTAGATGTGACAGAAGATTTATTTTATATTTTACCACTGCTGTCCCTTTTGGGATTTTCACCATTTTATGATTCACAAACAATAGTTATTATTTGACTATTTTTATCTTAGTCACTTGTATAATTGCATAGCTAATGTGTATGTTTCTTTGACTGTATACAAACATTCAATTTTGCAATTTTTAAAATTGCAAATATCACATATATATATTTACCAAACTCAAATATGTACTTTTAGATTATGTCATTCATGATCACAGTATAATACAATTGTGAAATCACTAAACCCACCTGTGTATGTGTGTCGATGACAGGAGTGACAAACGCAGGATAATGATCTGTCCCAAGACTGCCCTTCACACTCTGATCAAACTAAACAAATATAAAGTGTCTATGAGAGCGACTCGGTTAATTCAGCTTTCCTGTCAATTCTCTGCATTTAGGCCTCTGGACTTCCTTCTTTTGACACATTGGTTGAGAGAGGAGGGATCATACACTAATCCTGTACAGAGCACTTCTTTGAAGGTGTATATGACACGTCTTACAGTCCCTTTATTTATTCGGCAGCATTTTCTTAGTTGGAAGCCTTGAGTTACCGTCCAAAGGGAAGATGCTTTCTCCTTCTCTATTATTAAAAGGATAAAGGACTCCTTGTGGAGCTTTATTCCATCAAACTTTGATCTAATGTGGCAGCTTGAGTCCCGCTGGTTTTCACTCTTACAGTAATGCCTAATGCAAAACAACAGGAACAACAGCAATTAAATTACATGTACGTTATATCGACCATAGCACAAATAGGATGGGGATTTCCCTCCTTTTGCCGAGACACTTTATCTAATTCTATTTTGGCTCCAACACAGTGAGATCACACTTGGCACAAAGATAGCTGTAACACTTTGAGACAAACTAAAGTGTTCTTTCAGACTCACATTTTAAGATGTGCTTTATATTAAACTAATTTCATTTGATTTAGTTTTTAGCTGATTTTCCTGGCACATAATGGCTAAAAAGCTGGTCTCAGCACTGGCAGAACAGAATAGACCTTCAACCCCTGCCAGAAAATAGACTGTGCCACACCCCAGCATTTACATTTTATTGCTTTTATTTATGAAACTAGTGTGTGACATTCCTAATCAATATGTTGGACTTGACTGGCCCGTTGGCACTGCAGCATGCCCACTTTTTGTTTAGAGTTTAAGCTGACTTGCTTTTCATTTCTTATCGCTTGGTCTTGAATACTTGTCCCAGTGCAGCTGAAAGCTAGTTTCTTAGGAGTAAATGGGGAGCTATTGTGTTGATGAATAAAGGGAAGCAATGTTTAGGTGTTTCTTGTAATACATTGGATATGCACGTGGCTGGAAATGTTTTTTAAGGAAGGACATTTAGTCTTTTAAGAGTGCGAAAGTATACATCATTTTTCACAAAGAGCCAGGAATTCTGACATTTAGGATACCTGTTTGGGATTTCCTTCTGAGTTCTGAACTATTCCTCTTTGTCCTTTTAGATTTAGATATTACATATAATGTTGTATTTTATAAAAAGAGATCTAACCCAAAGCAATCATTGGGTAGACCAAAATCACTAAGCTTTCAAAAGGCCTCCATTCTTGATTAACGTTTTAATATTACAAGGTCGTCTGTCTTACTTGTAAAGTCAAGTAGAAAGAATTTGAACAAGTGTATATTGAGTTTTATCCTTCCTCTACAGCACCGCCTGCTCTCTTGTCCTTCCTTGCCCCCGCTGCACCTGTTTGGTGTGCTGGCATTTAGCCTCAGTTGCACGACCCCAGTTGGGAATGTCCTTTAGCATCAAAGGAGAAGGCACTGTTCAGAGCAAGAGAGTTGAAACAGTGCAAACAATTCATTTATGAGTGTTAAAGTTCAACATCGCTGGAACAAAATTGTAGCGCCGCGTAGTCAATAATCCTATTGAGGCAGCAGGGTGTTATATTAAGTAGGCCCGACCTTCACACACACAAAACCAGAGATTGAAAGCTTTGTCTCTGATAGTGTGCACCCTGTTATGTGTCCTTGAGCCATGCAATGAATCTCTTCCAGCTTACATGACCGTGTAGTGTAGCTACCCCCTGGGTGGGGCTGGTGTAATGATAGTACCTACAGGATCAATAGAGTAACATGCAAACTAGGGAATTGAATTTGAAAGCAAATGTATATTCGAATATTCGACCCCCCAAAAAATGGTTAACCGATTAACGGAAATGTACATATCCTATATAAAAAAAAAAAAAAAGTGGGAAAGATGTGTACACATTTCTTTCTTCCTTTTTTTGAAAAATAAATAAATATTATGTTCAAATAAGTATAAAAACCAAGTCGAATTTGTCAAATGTACTGAGAGAGAGATCGAGAGAGAGATCGAGAGAGATCGAGATCGATCAGCACCTGCAACTCTGCCGGCTGTGAGGGACCGGTGAGCAGAGCAAAACACATCTTTATACCTAACACATTTAGCTATGGCATTGTCGTATACATTGCATTTTTTTTTATTGAAATGTTTTAATTAAAATAAGAAAATTCATAACTCATATTCGAATACCTGAATAATTTAGAATATTCGTTTAATCGTTCCCATCCCTAATGCAAACAGCTAGTTTAAAGGGCCTCTTCTTTTTAGTGCTGCCGAAAACAGACTGGAAAGAGTCTGAAGAAAAATAGTTTTCTATTTGTGTCACCTGTTTGTATGTGGTGTCATCCATGTTGAGAATTGAGGTTAAAGTTTTTTGGGGTCCAACTGAAGGGTGTGAAAGCCAGAAGGCAAACAGGTGCTGTACCGGCGATGGAAGTCAGACGACATTACTGGCTGGCAACCTTTCCCACTGATCCTATTCTTAGATATTGTTCCTAGATTCAGTGTCCGAGCTATTAATTCTTGCTACATATTTTTCAAACCGATAACCCTCTAGTATGTGGTTGCTTATTGCCGTGGCATTTGATGTGGGCCAACATGCACATACTCTTCAAAGGCCTTCCCAGTATTCCCATTAGCTCTCGCCCCGCCGCCCCTCTCTTTTCTCACTCCCCCACAGCTCCACCCTTCCTCCTGTTTGTCATGCCGTCACTTTCTCTGAGGACACACAGTGACCTTGTTCACAGGCAGTCATGCTGGTGTGTGTATGTGTTTGTGTTTGTCTTTTCCCCAGATCTCTTTGCCCACAATGCTAAATCAGAATCCTTTGGCATGGACACACTGTGCAGGCACACACAGACCCTCATAAACACACACACTGATATGTGATTGAGTTGAGTAATCTTGTTGGGTCCAACTTGGGCAACAATATGTTGATATAGTGCATTTATCCGCCATGCGCTTTCATGCAGTGCCCTGCATTCAGAGACAACCTTTGTGGCCTGTCTGTCTGTGTCTCCTCTAGAAAGTGCTGAGTCACCTTCTACTCCCCCCGTCCCGTAATAGGCCATAAGCAAACAGCCATGGTGAAATAATGGCCTGACTGCTGCAACTAGTCCTTCCCCCCTGTGTGGAAAAGAGGAAAACGAGAGTGGAATATTGAACTTTCTTTGGTGTGTTTTTGTGTGTGTGTATATGTGTGTGTTGTAAAGAGCAGTGCCATGGCAACAGGTCTCTGTGGAGTAGAAAGCAGGTGGGTGGCACTCAGCTCAAGCTCTAAGCCTTATGTGTGTCTTTTTGTGCGTGCTCCCTCTTGAGTCTGCGGTGCTCGTTTAGTGTATTGAAATCATGTCGGGTGGACTCCCTGTAGAGCACTTCAATGCATAGTTTGTAGTTAAGACACCCTTGCAGTAGCTCACTACTCATTAATGAACAGTGATCTGAAATTGGGGTGTTTTGTATGGGTGGCAGTAAATGACAGTGTTCATCAACAGTCTGTACAAAACCTGCAGCAGCAGCAGGAGAGGAGAGGGCTGGGATGAGGTTGACTGCTTGAGACTCTGATCTCCTTTCGGAAAACAAAATCTAAATTCACATTTTGAAATCTTTTTGAGTTCAGTTCTCTTGACGTCCCTGTTTTGTTTTCATAAAACAACCGTTAACCCTCGTAACATTATATTCCTGTTATGATGTGTAATGTGGTGTCACACATCAGAGAATCTTGAGGTCATGTCTGCTTCAGACGACCCAGACCTCAACTCCTC